CTGTGGGCAGACTCAACAACTATTAGCGGCTATTCCTATTTTTGAGGATTTTTCCATTAAATCCCTCATAAGAGAGTTACTGGAAGTTGTTTTAACACCTAATTTATATTTTTAAGGCGTCTTAATTCATTGATTAGTCCCACACCTTTATTTGTGGAAGCTGGTAAACAAAAACCCACACTTTCTACATATAGTAACTCATCAGACATCGTCTGTGACCATAAGTACAACCTGACTAAACAAGTATTTAAACGTGTTTACTGAATGCCTTCATTGTTTGGAAGATGTATAAACTCTGTAAATGCAGCAAAAACACATAAGTACACAGTTCACCTGACAGATGGCACTGAGTGGCAATTAGGTCGACCCCTCCTAGCAGAGCCCGACATCAGATTAAACATAAGCACATTGGCTTCAACACATCCCCCTGGAAGCTTTCACATTAAAACCAAGTGGATGCCAGATTATTTTCTAGCAGTGGAAGCCATTGTTCTGCCCACATTGTGACTGATGTCACATCCTTTTTCCGCTGGGGGATGTTTAAAAATATCTTCCAAAAAAAAAAAAAAAAAACGTAATCAGGCTGTAATTTTAAACAGCTGATTTTATGACTTACCACGCCACAGAACTAATACATGCTTCATTATTTAGCGGTTTGGTCTTGAGATATCCTCTGTGAAACATCTGATAAACTCTGCAACTAGCAACACTGGTTCTTTTCAGATAAAAATGTCAAAATATTTCTAATCAAAGTTGAATATTTAGCTTACTGCAAACTGGCTGCATGATTTGTCTGTTGAAATAATTGAAAGATATTATTAGAGAAAGCAGCTGGATAAGCTGCTCAGGAAGGCCAGCTCTCTGAATGGATGCCATCTAGACTAATAGCAAGAGGTGGGAAACTAAAAGATCTTAACTAAATTAACATTTCTATTGGATAATGTCTCCCACCCCATGTGTGAAGCTGTTGCTGAACTGCAGATCTCCTTTAGCGACAGACTGCTGCACCCTAAATACACCAGGGAGCGTTATCACAGATCCTTCCTCCCAGCAGCTGGAAGACTTTATAATCATCACCGTTACCATCAAATTCAGTTAGTTGTTAAATTCATGCTGATTTTTGCACAGTTTTTGTTTTTTTATTTCTTTATTGTCCCATAGTTTTCTCTATTGTGGCAAAATAATGGGATTTTTATTCTATTCTATTCTATTCTGAAAAGGGGAGATTGAGGCGTCCATTTTTTTTCACCTAAATAGTGAAGGACAAATTTTGAGGATGATGATGTTCAGATTTTAGACTGAGAGGAGAGATTTCAAAGACGAGTGACAGAAGCCATCTTTGTCCACAGGTATTCAAAACTGCAATGAAGGGGTCCGTTTCAGCCTTTAAACATCCATAACGATGAAATTCATTAAAAAGAAGTTACAAAAGCAAAATGATAAGGATTCAGGTGTACATGTAAACAACTAACATCAAACAATAGGTCGACTATTTGCAGCCAACTTGGAACACTCCAATTTGGTCGGGCCTCCATATGCTTTAAAAAAGCAACAGACAAACTCCAGGTTTATACCCAATTCGAGTCTCCAGGATGGACAAAGAATATTTGATACGAGTCAAAACACATTCACAAGAACTGAGGAAAAGTCTGGTTGCTTTCAATCAAAGTCTGTTGTAGGAATCGGATAATTAAGAATATGCACAGCCATCTAGTTTAAGATGTTAGACTGAGGCAGCATGAAAAAATTTGATTTCCTGATGAGATATATGGTTTTGAAGTTGATCATAACCAGATATCTATCGATGCCAAGTCCCAATTGCAACATAGAAGAAGCCTTGAAATAAGAAACTGTCAGGTGTGAAATAATAGAGAAAATATAACAAATAGGTAAAAATTCTATATATATGGAGAGTCGGAATTTGCAAACTTTATCAGGAGCACAGAGTGTGTCTCAGTTACTAAAGGTAATGTGTAGCCAAAGCAAGCACCTCAGGAATTTCCCAGCATCACAGGCATTCAAATGAATCCAAATTCACATCAGCATTGATCTTTCTAGGAAGTCAAACTATCTTCAGTCAAAAATATCCAGGATCAGTTTTTTTTTCTCTTTTTTATTCCCCAAGAGTAAGATAAAGCTTTCCAAACGGCAACCATAGGACTTGATTTAAAAAAACAAACAAAAAAACGAAATAATCCTGTGGATTAAAGGTTGCTACTGTCTTTCCCACTCCTGCAGAAGCAGACATACAGTCGTCTCCACCCAGCTGTAAAACACAGACTATGATGACCTGGATTACTGTACAGTGGGCACAGACTCCAGAGAGTGTAGGCTGCCGTCTATGCAGCTTGGTCTGCTCTAGGCTTTAAGACGCTGGGCTACAAAAAAAAAGAAAAGAAAACCTCGATGCACAACAGAAGACTGCATGTTAAACACAGGGGCTTCAGATTAGCTCTCTGTTCCTGCAGGGCCCTCTCTCTGCTGCCTGCCTTTGATATTTGGCAAAACCTGTCACCTCCAGGGGCAAGGCAGACACAAGGGGAATGTTAAACGGTCCTATCCTTTGAGATGAAACATTCGATATGAATCATTGATGCCTCTCATCTTCACCCTCTCTCTTTCTCTCACACACAGACATATATACTCATCCCATTTATCATAGCTTCCAGCCGATATAACTATGCAGCGTAAATTTCATGTCCTTATAATGAGTACCTATGCTAATTAGAGGCTAATTTATTACAGTTTGGTATAATGGCTGCACAGAATTTACACAATTACACACCAAATCTGCAGGACAGTTTCGAGAGCATGCTGACAAAACTGAAATTAAAAGCTTCCACTAGATGTATATGTGAATGTGTGCAGATCCACACATGCAGGTAAACATTTAGAGGGTTTATCTGCCCTTTAGTGGTGCTCTGACAATCAAATATTGTCAGTCATGCCCAGAGGCTTTAACACGTTAACCAGCAGCTTGCAGTGTGCTGACATGTGTCCGATGCTCTTTATCCTGAAGAAAAACTATTCTAATGCATCACATGTTAACATGCAACTGCAGAGAGAGGGGGTGGTAAAGGTTCTTGACCATTTGCTCCTGATGGCTTAAGTATTTTCTTTTAAACACTTTTTTTTTAAACTATTTTTGTTTTAAATTTTTTTATATTTTCTTGGTTTTATAGTGTCATTACGCAAGCTATTATAGCAATTACAGATAAGAGAAAAATAAGCAATGTATTTACATCTCTAAACTTAATATTCATTAAAAAAAGCATGCTTTTTCAATTTAATTGAATTCAAAATTATGCATACAAGTGCAAACAGCCACTGTTTGAGGCAGGTGTCCAAGATAAAGCCTGAGACTGTTTAAAATCTTTAACATTTTCCATGATTTTACCACCTGGTGACTTAAGTAGTGTAATGGGGTTTTTTGGTGGGTGGGGGGAGATTTGAATATTCAGCTGTAAATATCCTGCTCATAACTGGTCCCTGAAGTCACCTTTTTAAGGATTCCCAAAAGCACCATTCTACAACCATTCATTTTTCTTTGTACCACAAGTATTTACTTTCACTCTTTAGGCCGAAGTTTATATATAGTACAGGTAACCATGAGCACATTTCAATAACAGTAATGTAATAATTTAACTTTATTTCATATATCTCATTTTAATGATTTGCATTTTGGTCACTGTGCAATTTCATGTTATTTCCTACCCAACTTTTTCAAATGCAAGATTTAAATCTAATGCAAATCTCTGTGGCGTTTAGCACATTGTAGTTTGATGACAGTGACCCACTTTCATGTTAAACACTGGATGGTTATCAGCTTTACTTATCTTGTGCACTAGTGTCAGTTTTATCCCCTGATCTATGATTAACTCTTGATTTTTTTTATATTTTCCAGAACCATTTTAAGCCTTAATAGTTCATAAAGCAGAACTTATGGAAACAGCAGTTTACCCTTTATAGGGCATTCAGTGAAAGCCTTTAAACATCTAAATTTCAAGCAAAAAGTACACTGCAAAAAAACTGAAATCTAAGTAAGTCAGTTTTTCTTAAAATAAGTGCATTTTTCTTGAGCTGAGCAGGTAAGTGAGATACTTTGCAAATGGAATAAGAAAATTTACATTTAAAATAAGGGGGAAAAATGCAGTCTCCTATTTCAAGAGCATAATATCAAATAATCTGATTTTAAGGATAAAAATGCTCCCTTGTCTGAGAGATTTTCTTACTTACCTACTCAAATTAAGGGTAAATACACTTATCTTAAGACATTTCAAAAAATTTAAAGATCCTTTTTGTAGTGTGTTATTGGAATCCAGGACGAGAAATTATTACCTTTCTAACATTAAAAAAATATGTATATTTTGATGGCATAAATGAATGTCAATGTAATTGCAAGAAACGCCAACTTGCCCGTATATATTAAGAAAAATAACAAAAGTGCTTCTATCAGAAATTCATGAAAAACACTCAGAGTAAAATAAATGGCTCCATTTGTAAGGCGTATGCAAGTGATCAAAAATGGTAACTTGTCCTATAAAGGGTTAACCTTTACTTACACTTAAATACTAGACATACAGGAAAAGCAAACTGTTTCATTCTTTAAGAACAAGATTTGACTTCCCTAAATTCTCTTCTGCTTCCTGACAGCTGCCTGTCAGTCATCAGAGGGCGGGGTTATGAGCAGGGAGGGGGGGTGTGGACCTCAAACCTCACACTGATTGGTCAGGGAAACTTAACAGTCAACTCAGCCGTCCAATCAGCTGCGCTATTTGAAGGAGGTGCCTGCGTTTAGATGCGTCACACGCACGTCTTTCAGGATCATTTTATTAATGACCGACCTCACGTGTACTTTCGGTTCTGAACCGTAAATAAGTAGCAGAACGCCCAGTTTGATCCGAGTCCCCAAAACCCGGGTTTAACCCCCCTTTCATTTTGATCCAAAACAGGATCTTTACGCCCCGTTACCACCGCAGAGCAAACGGAATGAAACCTACCCATCCCCCGTTATCCTGTATCCAGCTGTCAAGGGTTCCATTTAAATATTCCGTCATCCACTCCGCGATGTTGTCCACCTGGGAGAGCATCTCCTCCTTGGACGCGCACTCCACGCACACCGTGCTGCCGAACTCGAAGAAAGCGATAATCCGACCCCAGTTCACGCCGTCCCGGAACAGTTCGTCTATGACTTCGGCGAACCTCGTCCTCGCCGTGTCCCTGGTGAGGTAAAGCTGCTGGGACATTTCCACGAAGTCCAACTGGTAGAGTCTCTCCAGTTCGTCCCCGGCGTCGCGCAGGACCCGGTGGATGTCCGCGCGCGGGTCGGAGCCGGAGAGCCGCCTGCAGAGGCGGCGGGGGTCGCTGTCGCTTTGGGGCCCCGCTCCAGCATCGCGGCAGCGCCGAACTAAAGTGGGCGAATGGTCCCCTAACCCTCCGTTATCAGCGGCTCCATCCTCCCCGTTAAATTCCCAAACGTATCCCCTCTTGGAGAGTTTATGGAAGATGTAGTTTTCCACAATATTGCGGTTGCAGTCGTTCGCCATTCCTAAATGCGACACTTTAGAAATCAGAGCCTTTCCTAAATAGGATGCATTGTGGTCCAAATGGAGTGGTACTGTAGGGCGCACAGGGAAAGATCATCCAACCCTGCGCTAAGGCTGAGCGCAATTAATTAATCCTCTGCAAGGGGAAGAAAAAGATGAAACAAACTAAGAAAAATCTATCGGAGAGAAACAAAAAATGCGATTTAGGTTTAAAACCGTCTTCTTTTCCCGAATCCTTGCAGGGAGAACTGCTGGGGAGAGAAATTCAATATGCGGAAGAAGCTGAAGTAGTTGAGCTTGTTCCCAGGCGCAGAGGAGCAGCGACTGGAGATGGATGAATGAAAGGCAAAGTTGCGCGCGTCTGAAGGGGTTTTCCTCCGCGGTTCAGCAGATATCCACCCCTCTGCAAGCCGAGCGGAGGCCGGGCTGAGAGTCAGACAAGGTCGGACTGGGTCCTCGGAGCTGCGGCTCCTCATTATCAGCATCAGCAGCTCCAGCCCACAGTGGGTTGCGTTTGCTGACGTCAGCTTAGAGACTCCCAGATAAAAAAAAAAAACAAAAAACTAATCAATACTTCTAACTAAATGCTCTGTAGATGTGTTCTGTATTAAAAAAAAAAAAACAACAATAACTAAGATCATATATATATATTACTTTTTTAAGATGAGTTAGAAAAATTGTTCAACCTTTTTGTCCATATTTCATTCGCCCCCTTGTGGCTGGAAGAGTTCACAACAACTTAGCCCTTATACCCTGGAAGAATAGAATAGAATATAATAGAAAATCCCTTTATTGTCCCACAATGGAAAATTTATGATGATCACAGCAACAAAAAACATTATAAAAATGGTCACATAAATATGGACCTTAGAATAGTGGGCCTATTTTTATCTTTCCTCATTTTGTCATAAGCATAAACTTTAATTTCCAAATTTGTTGCAGGACTGGTTAAATACAATCTGGTTTGGAAAGGGGAGTTGGTAGATTTTAAATATACCAAGTTAGTAGAGAAACATCTTCATTTGGTCTAAATAGAGGCTGTGGGCAACTTCTCAAATTTCATTTGTAAATTACATTAAATGCATTAAAGTTGGGGAGGGGGCCATGTATTTTAATGGGAGCACAAAAAGAAACAAAAGTTCCTGGTTTGATGCAATAAGAGAACCAAAGAGACATTTGGAGCCCTGGAAACCTCAGATCTACAAATAAAATCCATGATCCTGTCCCCGTATGATCAAAACTTAAGGCGCAACAACTTCATTTTTAAATCATCAATTAAACTGTAAATATAAAAAACAAATTAACTTTCAACTTTCAGTTTCAGCACATATAATGTATTCATCATACATTTGTTTTGTATTATATCTTTGGTAAAGGGGCCATAAAAGAAGACCAGGACTAATTCAACAGGACCAAAAAGACTAATGAGTGCCAGGTTTGTTTTAACAAAATGTGAAAAAGTTTTAAATGTTTTTAAATTTTAGGAAGCCCCTACAGACCTATTTCTTCATTTCTTTTCCAACATGTTGGACTGAAGTATTGTTGTGGCGGTCAGATCCAAAAAGAGACATTTATTTCAATCCATTTTTTATTTTATCATGTAAGAAAATAAGACATAAGAACGTTCCACTTTTGAAAACTTCTTTCAATGGCACACAAGGTGAAGGTGTTAAATCATTTTGGCAGGAAAAAAAAAAGCAAGGTAGAGTGCAGAATGACTTTCAATTTGTTAAACTCATTAGTAACATAACACTACTGAGTAGCTGGGGAGACAATAGCTTCGGGTTTTCGTCAAATGTTCAAACATACTGTAAGCATAGGCTACATTTGCATAGCTTAAAGGTGTTCAAACAAAACTGCTTTTTATAAGCTACATGTTCCACTATGTGTTGCTACCTAAAATGAGAACTTCAGAAAAGCCATAAATGCGCAATAATGAAATGATTTTCAAGTGCAGAAAAGTGCCTTTAAATCAATATCAAATGAGAACATCATCAAACAAGAGTCACCCATCCCCACTTTCATATATTTGATTATATAAGGCTTCTTTCATTGTGAAAACACTAGAAAACGATTAAACACAGAGGAAAAACAGTTATAAAGCCAACAGAAATACCTCACACTGTTTTCATAGCTTCTGACTGATCTATTGTCACCTCTTAAGGCTTAGAATGGGTCAGGCAGCACTACTCTGGTACAACTCAAGCTATGACCACCAGAGCAGCAACATCGAGTTAGAGATTTTGGCATTCAAATATATCTAAAAATAATAATCCAAAAGCCACATTTGAATGTTGACATTAAAGTACATTCGGGTGAAAATTGGCTAAAGGAAGACTACTATGTACTACTTTAGTCTCTGTATACAAAGGAGTAGGAAAGATAGATTTTTCTAGGCGCGACAGAAACAGAATCAACCGAGACATCTGGTCCAAAAATCACACTCTAGTCTGTCTCATCTAGATTTAGTTTAAAAGAAAAAAAGAAATCTCTTTGCTGTCAGTGGACCTAAAGAGGCGCGACTCGAACCAGCGAGTCATGCCTTGCCCTGACTCGACACCATCCCGACAGACAGTGAATTTTGACAGTACAAAAACAAAATAATCAGTGATGCAGTGTATGAGTGTGTGCAGGTGAAAAGTGAAATCATGTGCTGGCTTTTTTACTTTGTGGCTTCGACACTCAGGAAATGCTTATTTCTAAAGCTGGAATGATAAAAGACGTAGAGTCTTAATAATAGAGACAAATCAAATGGCTTTTCCATCCCTCTCTGGGTTGGCTCAGTCACAGTAGAAACACATTCATGCACACGTTTCACCTACAGTTACTTTGGGTCTCCCCATCGCTGCATTTACAGGAAAGGATTGTTTTTGTTTTTTTTTTACATTTGCAAAAAAAAAAAAAAAAAAAAAAAAAAAAAAAAACTTTCCGATATCAATAAAGAATACAGTTATATCACTTCACAGCTTAGTACACACAAAGGACACAAAGACAAAACATCCCACAGCATTAAAAACAACATGTTTCCAGTCAGAGGTCATTCGGTCAGAAAGGGGAGGTGCTTTGCCTGCAAAGACTTGAGGTACAAAACCCATTCAATGAAAAAATTCTCAGTAAAAACAGGTTCTTCAGTAATATAACGCAAGAAAATGACTGAAAATGAAAGTTTACCTTATGTTTTTAATCATAGTCCTGGGTGGAAAGGAATTTGAAGCCATTTTGGGAACAACTAGTCCAGCTGTCTGCTGCTTTGCTCTACTGCTTCTCTAAGCATGGAGAGAAAAGCAGGAGTCTGAAACTGTCTAATCTTCAAAGGGATCACCTACAAGAAAAACTGTCATGTTTAGTCTGCCCTTATTCCCCTCCATTCACAGCCACATTAAAGTCATTCTGTGTTCTAAGAGGACAGAGGATGTCAAACCAAACCTTTAAAGGGTAAGTGATGTCATCAGAAAGTAAACATTACGCTCATTTTTTTTTTCCTTGTTAAAGTTGATATCAAGCGTTGGACTTGGATTCCACCCAGCTGTGTATATTTGTGAAGATGTAGGAAGGAGCTGCAGAGGAGCAGCAGAACTGGGCTGTGAGGACTTTAAGGCTGATGTTACTCCCTCTTGTCGGCTGCTTTCGATTGCTCTCTCTGAATCATGCAGCGCCGCACGATGCTGTCAAAACTCCCCAGGTAGAAGAGGGCGATGGTCCGAAACAATCCCATTGTGACGATCTGTGGGAAAGTTTCAATTATAGCCAAAAAGGTACAAAAAACTTAAGTAGGTAATGTCTTAAACAAGCATTTCAATGGCAAATTAAATTGAAGGAAAAACAGCAACTTTGGGAGGACTGAGAGGCATAGCTCATTCAAGTGTTTCGCCTAAGCTGATAAGAAAAAAAGGTTCAACTGTTACTCATTGTCCCAAGCCCTACTAGTTAAACTAAAGGTTAGATTTAATTTGAAAATATCAGCTCCAAAACCTGAAGGAAGAGCAAAAAGCCACAGAATCCAGTTTGCTTTGAGGTTCAGTGAGATTAGATCCTTAGTGAGATTAGTGGGAAAGCGGGACTCACCCCAAGATCAACTCTTTCTTTTTTAAAAGAAATAAATATTTCAACTGGAACTATATGGTGCTATTTTAATGTTACTATTCATTTTGAACTTTACTGTGAGCTCTTTTATAGTTATACAATATTTGTTTCAAAACTGTTTTATTGCTGCCCCAAGAGGTTAAACAGTCGGGGTTTAACCACATCTAAGCTAGATGCCTAAATTAACCCATTAAAGCCTGAACCAGGAAATAATTGACAGAAGATTCTAATTTTCCAAAATTAGAATTGTCATAGAACTTTGTGACAAATAAAATAACTATATGAATTTGGTAAAAACATTAAATTACATTATTTATGTGCATCAATTTTGATATATTACACATTTCTATACAATCTTTTATATGTTTTCTGTTCACTAAATGTGTCTCATTATGTAAGTAAGGGTTTCAAGAACCAAAACATCCCACTGATGATGCAGAGGTTTCAAAATCTCCTGTGTCAAATATAATACACTTGGCTTTAAATGGTTAAGGTAAGCACTCTTCCCCATTTAGCCTTAACTTTGCAGCTGTAGTCTTTTAGTCTATTCTGAGTTTCTGTGCTGCACATGTGCATTTTCATCTGTACCTGCTGGAGACCTTCTGTGATGGAGGTAACAGGTGACATTCCACAGGTAAGAGCTGATAGCATGTAACCATCTGGGCCAACTGAGCTGTTAAAGTTCCCTTGCTGCAAAGACAACAAGAAAAGATACTTGAAAAACAGGAGACAATAATGATAAAAAAATAAATAAAAAAAAAACAGTAGAAAGGCTCTTCCTACCACAGCATCCTTGACAAGGATTTTTGCCACTTGGTCTGGCTGCCAAACTCCAGAGGTTTCAGAGATTAACTTGGTCTCTAAAGGCTTAGGGGAAGAAAAATGAAAGTTAAAGGCTAATTATTGTAG